CTCTTTCCACAGTTTGGCTATTGTGGACATTGCTGCTATAAACAGCGGGGTGCACGTACCCTTTCGGATCCCTACTTTTGTATCTTTGGGGTAAATACCCAGTAGTGCAATTGCTGGATCATATGGTACCATGCTGCTGATTCTTTTAAAATGCCAGGTTTACAGTGGGGCCGAGTAGGTCCTCAGCTGCTCCAGAGTAAGAGTTCAGTGGTGCCCTGGGCTGTGGTTTACACTCAGTTAACAGAAACGATTCTGAGGACATTTAAAAGGAAAGCGCTTGCAGAGCAGACTGAGGTCACCTTTCAATCATAGTGTTTTGATACCCTCGGAAGGCAGATAGGGAGAAGAGGCAGCGCCAGAGGCCACACCAACATCTCATAAGTATCTAACAGGGTGGAGAGAATTGTCTCCAGCAGGATTCATTTCATGGAGTCCACTGCATGTGGCCAGAAGTAGGGTTTTTTTTGTTTGTTTTAAAAATATTTTTATTTTTTATTTTATTTGCGCGCACGTGCGCGAGAGTGAGCACAAGCAGGGAGAGGGGCAGAGGGAGAGAGACAAGTAGACTCCCCGCTGAGCTCAAGGTGGGGCTCGATCCCAGGACCCTGAGATCATGACCTGAGCCCAAGTCAGATGCTTAACCAACTGAGCCACCCAGGCGCTCCCAGAAGTAGCTTTTCGATTGGCTACCTTGTGGGGCTGTGACTGCAGGGAGAACCTTGGTGCCCTGGAAGAGGGGAGGGGTTTCCTGGTTGCACAGGGGAAGGACAGGGTGGGTTTACCCAGATCTCCAAGGGGGCACGTGGGCTACGGAATGACTGTGATAAAGAAAAATCAAATGCCCAAAGTTGGCATGTTCTCTCCTTTGATAAATTAGGAGCTTGATACCGCGTCCCCTTTGTCCTGACATCGCAGCTGGGGATAGTACATGTATATGGAAGTCTCCTCATCTGGTCTCCTCTGGCACCATATGAATCCCCGACTCTGGAAACCATACTCTAGCTCCATGTCACGTTTTGAAGGCTGAACACATTGTGTCCCAGGGACAGCCTAGAGTCTTGCAATGAGCACTGGACTCAGAGCCAGGGGACCTCAGGGGGCCCTTGAACAAGTCACTGTCTTGCCTCAGTTTCCTGATCTATAAGACAAAGAGGATGGACTGGGATGGTCTCAGAAGAGCTTTCTACATCCAGAGCTCCGTGTGGATCTTCCTTGGGCTAGGATTTCATTTTGTGCTCCTAAAGTTGCCATTAATTAAAATTCAATTAACAACCTCAGCCAGGAAATCCAAAATGAAGGGCTGACACTTCTGATTAATTGAGAGTGGCAGAAAAATAAAATGTGGGGGGATGATGTGACAGGCAATTTTAGCTTCTCGCTTGCCCTTTATTGAACTGACTCGGTCTGAATTGACTTAAATCCCCAAATGCTGCTTCTCTAGTTTTTATATTTCACTCAGGAGCAGTGTTAACTAGCTGCTGTGTTCTACCTCGGTAGGGACTGCTTTTGGGCAACAAAGGAAAAGATTTCCCTGAGTGATTCCTTACATTTTCTTAGAAGCAGTGGCTTCCAACTGGTGGCCCATGGGGAGACGTGATTGACTGCCCAGAATTTTACGAATTGGGGAGATTTTTATATAACAACTTAGGTTATTGGTCTCTCTTGAAAACGATAAGCCCTGGACTCCCATTCTCAAATGGCAAAATGGCTAGAGCTGGGCAGAAGTGCAGGCCATTTGCCACAGACCTCACCACTCCCTATTGCATTAGACCTAACCTGATTTTTTTTCATTTACTCCGTTTGCCGGGCTCTCACGAACGCTGTCTTGGCCCTGACAAGCTCTAAACGTACAGAAGAATATCAGTTGCTGTGCGGAGTTGATTGGAACCTCTCTTTCAAAGTCCTCATTTTGTAGGTGCAGAAACTGAAGTCCAGGGAGAGAGAAAAGGACTTGTCTGAAGCCACACAGTGAACTGGGTCACAGTGGCTAAGCTAGGTCTCCTGACTCCTAATTGAGTGCTCCCCCATCATCAGAGTGGACCACCCTTCAGCTCTGAGTTTGACCTATAAGCTTCCTGGGGAATTCAATTTTTTGGAGAGTTCCAGTGTGGTTATTCACTGCCCCCTCTGTAGATTTTTGTTAGGAATATTCCTAGAGGACATTTTTTTTTAAGGTTTGTGGCTCCTAATGCTTTTTCTGTGCATCTCTGGAGACAGATGTACGCAGTATCTCCATAGCAACTTTCTGTGACAAAAACAAAAGCTTTTCCTTCTCAGATCTAGGCACATCCTGGTGAAAGAGCAAGAAAATAGTGAAACTCTTCATGAGGGCAGTTGTAATTGTGACACCATGGAAAACATGCATTTGATGAGCTCAGTGTTTAATATACAGCGTTTCGTGAACAGGCCCAGGATTCACTCTTGGCTCTGCCATGACCCAGCTGTGTGACCTCATGCAAATCACTTAACCTCTCTGAGCCCCAACTTCCTCCTCTCCCAACTGGTGATTAGAATAGTGCCTCCTGGGGTTTGTAAGAAGGCAGAGCCAGCTAATAGACCCCAAAGCACTTCTTTAGCATAGAACCTGGCCCATCACAATTATGTTAAAAAGTGGCTTCTAAAAATTATAAGCAATAATGCTTAGCATTTTAACATTTTTAGAGTGAGTTTGCATGTTGTTTCCTGAGGTTCTTTACTAGTGTCGTGAAGTAGGCAAGGCCAAGCATTATATGCACGTTGTGGGTAAAAGCACAGATGCAGGGCGCCTGGGTGGCTCAGTTGGTTAAGCGACTGCCTTCGGCTCAGGTCATGATCCCGGAGTCCCGGGATCGAGTCCCGCATCCGGGTCCCTGCTCAGCGGGGAGTCTGCTTCTCCCTCTGACCCTCCCCCCTCTCATGTGCTCTCTCTCAAATAAATAAA